CACAACCCCTCCGGGTCTCAGTTTCTTCATCTGTAAATGAGGAGGTTGAATCTGTTGACCTCAAATGTCCTTCCGTATTTAGAGCTGGCAGGAAGATTTTGATGTTGTTAAGCTGTTTTTTAGTTGTGTCTGACTCTCTGTGACCCCATTTGGGATTTTCTTGGCAGAGACAGTAGACTGTCTCATTTCCTTTTCCAGCTCATTTTACAGATGAAGAAACTGAGGCACAAAGGGTTAAGTGATCTTGCCTGGACTCACACAGCTACTAAGTGTCTGAGGCCAGATTTGAACTCACACAGAGGAGCCTTCCTGACTCTGTGCCTGGCACTGTATCCATTGTACCACCTAGCTGAGCTACAGCAGGGAACACCTAGTCCAAGTGGTTCTTTTTACAAATGAGGCAGCTGAGGCCAAGAGGAGGGAAGGAACTTACCTTACAAGTCAGTGTCAAGCCGTAAGTCCCCATCTCCTTATTCTTAATACAGAGTCTTCCCTTGATGACCTCACTAGGAAAAAAGGAGAGGCACCATGGAGGACAACTGTGGCCAGAGAAGGGTCACTAAGACTGAAATCCACATGCCCAGAGCTCACCCCTCCGGACTGATCATTGGGACACAGGTCATGTTCCCCACTCCTCTCCTGTTCCTCCCACCATCTTGCAGTGATCATGTCCCAGATTGAATTAGCTGGCTCTATAAGACAAGGAGCTGAGGTAACTGCATGTGAATGTAATTACAAATGATGTTTATTACCAAGCCCTAATCGCATCAGTCTAAATGATGGCTTCTCTTCCTCCAGCTAATAATCAGATATTAGGCACTAATCAGGGCCAATTAGCCAAATGCCTTTGGTGGGAAAGCCTGGTGGGAGATCTGCCCAAGGCCAAGGTTGGAGCTGGGCCCTGAGCTTTCTCCCCATTCAGGGAGTGCTTTCCCATTAAGAGTTTAGTGCTTCCAGGAACAATTTCTTCCCCTTCTTTCCTCCCATTCCTTCTTCTCTTCTTTCCCTTCCCTCTTCTCTTCCCTTTCTTTCCTCTCTTCTTCTTCCCCTCCTTTCCCCTTCTTGATTTTCTGTTCCTCCCCCTCCCACTTCCTTCTCAACTTTTTGTCTCTGTTCCTCTCTTCCATTCATCTTTCCCTTCCCCTTCTCTTTTAAAAAACAAGCATTTATTAAATGCTTACTATGTGCCTGGTACTGTGCTAAGGGCTTTACAAATATGAGTTCATTTGATATTTACTACACCTCTGGGAGGTAGGTGATATTGTTATTTATAGCTGAGGAAACTGAGGCAGACTGAGGTGAAATGACTTGCTCAGGGTCATACAACTTATATGTATCTGAGGTTAGATTTGAACTCAGGACTTCAGACTCCAACTCCAGGGCTCTATCCTCTCTAGGGCTGCCTTCTCCTTTCCCTTCTTCCTCCTCTCCCCTCCCTCCTTTCTCTTCCTTCCTTCTTCCCTTCCCCCCATCCTTCCCCCTTCCTCCTCACCTCCTGCTCTTACTCTTCTCCCACTCTTCCTCTCTTCATCTCTCTTTCTCTTCTCCTTTCTTCTTTCTCTCCCACTCTCCCCTCCCACTTACTTCTCTTACTCTAAGCTGAGGAATTCATAGAATGTCAGAGCCGAAAGAGCCCCACAGAGATATAATAATACTCAGCGTTTCTATAGCTCTTTCAGGTTTTCAAAATGATTTGCATATTAGGTATACTCATTTCATCCTTACACCAACCCTGTGAGTTAGGTGCAAGATAATTGCTGGCATTTATGCAGCACAGTTTGAGGTTTCCAAAGCACCTTACAGATATTGATTTTAACTTCATAACAACCCTGAGAGGGAGGTGCTATTATTATCCTCATTTTATAGATGAGGAAACTGAGGCAGAGGGCTGGTAAATGACTTGCTCAGAGTCACACAGCTAGTGATTGAAGCAGGATTTGAACTCAGATCATCCTGTATCCTGGCCCAGAGCTCTTTCCACCGATCTAGTCCAACTCTTTCAATTTATTTAAAAACAAATCTATCCTGTACTTGAATCACCTAATTTCATAGTGGAGAAAGGGCAGATTAAGGACTAGGACCCCAGTTATCATGATTCCTGGTCAGTCACTTCTATTACTCGGAGCTCCTGAGCATCTTCCCTATGAGCAGTCAGGTACAAAAAAGAGAGTGAGAGACCTGTTCTATCTCTGCTTTCCCCTTCATTTGGACTCACAGCCACTTCCCTTACACATACCTCTCACCAATTAGCTTCAAAAACATTCTGGGGCTCCCTGTGGCTTGTTATTGTTCTGTCATGGCCTCATTTGGGGTTTTCTTGGCAGAGATCATGGAGTAGTTTGCTCTTTCCTTCTCCAGCTCATTTTTACAGATGAGGAAACTGAGGCAAACAGGGTTAAGTGACTTGCCCAGGGTCACACAACTAGTAAGAGTCTGCGGCCCGATTTCAACCTCAAGAAGATGAGTTTTCCTGACTCCAGGTTGGGCACTCTATCCACTGTGCTGCCTGAAGTTCAAATTCTTCTGGGTATTTAAAGCCCTCCACGCTACCTTTCCAGTTTCATTTTATAGGACTTTTCCACAAACTACCCTAGCCATACTGGACAACTTACTCCTTGCTGTTCCCAACACCAAATAGAGAGATCTTGTATGCACATAGTTTGCATGTTGTCTGGCCCATTAGATTGGGAGCTCCTTGAGGGAAGGGACCAGGTTTTTGCCTTTTTTTCCCCCCTATTCCCAGCATTTAGCACAGTGTCTGGCGCATAGTCAATATTTAATAGATGTTTGTTGACTAAATGACTGCTTCCTTCTTCCTGAAATATCTTCCATCCTCTGATTTCTAACTTTATTTATTGAATTCTTGCCTTTTCTTACTCAACTTTTCTTTTGTGAAACATTCTCTGATCATTCCAGGTGACGACACCCTCCCTCCTGGGACCTGGGGTAGTATTTTGTACCTCTCTGATAACTTTTCAAGTGATGTGTATTATCTGTATCTACGTTTGTGTCTTATTCCACTACTGTATTAGAAGTTTCTCAAGGGAAGAACTCATTCCTTATCTATACTATGTATTCCTCCAAGGTTCTACCCCACTCCCCTTTCTCCCTCTATCCACCTCCGCACACCCTGGATTGAGGATAGGATATACAATATTAGATTTGGAATGTTCACTCAATGTTTCTTAGTGTACATCTATTTCCTCCTTCCGTCCAGGTGGTTTTTAGCACAGGCCTAGACAAAAATAACTTACGTTTAGCTCTCTGATTTTTACCCAAATGATTCCCACTTGTAATCCTTGTAATCAGCTGTCACATCCCTTCTGGTCAGTCCTGTAATTAGCCCCTCCAGGACAAATTCAGTGTGTTTGTGTATAGACTTGGGGGAGGAGGGGACAATCAGCCCTATCCTGGGTTCAGTCCTACCTTTGTCTTGGGAAGTGGGGCCGTGTGTTCCCCCAGACAAGCCTGATTCCAGCTGGGAACCAAAGGCATAGCTTTAGTTTCAGGACACCCCCAGCTACTATGGCGGAACCAGACCTATGAAATACCATGAGGTAATACCAAAGGGGCCCTCAGGCAAGGGAAAAGCCAGCCACTCCAAACTCTCCTCCCCACTAAACAAAATAACCTCAAATTTGTTATGGCTTTGCCTTTAGTTTTTTGGATTTCTTTAGACTTCTCTTCTCAATGTGCATAGGTTGTTACTAGTGCATCCCCTTTCACATACACTTAATCCTTTAAGCAAGAGCTCCTTTGAATGAGGCATAGTTTTCTTATGGCATATTTCATTTGAGTCCCATCCCAACAAGTGTTCATGATTTCTCAGGAATACATATGAGACCTACAGAGGTGAAGTCAATTCCCCAAGGTCAAACAGCAAATCTGGCAAAGGTCTCATTAGAACTCAAATCCTTGGACCCCCAATCCAGTGCTTAGCTCACCATCACATCACGTGACTGTTCTCCGCACAATCCCTCCCCAGTCTCACCCCAGGAAGAGGGGGGTAACCTTAACCCCACTTCTCCCTTCCTCCACCCCCCTTTCACTCTTCCCCCGTCCCAGGTTCTCTCCCGCACTACTCCTACAAACGCAAACCCACCCTGGGACGTTATCGATCTTCGGGGAGAAGATCAGAAAGTGTGCTTAGAAAGAGGGGGGTTATCTAGGGCCCTCCCCAGTCAGCAGGGCCAAATGAGGGTGAGGAGGGAGGTGGCCAGGGCGGGAAGAAACTCGGAGCTCTGTGCCCGCCCCCGGCCCCCGCCTCCGCCCTCCTCGGCCCGCCAGGCTTGCAATTGGTGGCGGGGAGGGCAGGGCAGGGGATCTGGACTGGGCACTGGCCAGCGACAGTTCGGTCCCCGATTCTCCAGCTCGCCGTCGGGACCCCTGACTCTCCAGGCGTACCAGCAGGCGAGCGAGTGATCAAGAGCTTAATTACACTCTTCTCCCGTAATGCCAGGTGTACACACAACATACCTACCCGCGGGTGCGGCGTACACCCAAGTGTGTTCCCTCCCGTGTAACGCAGCCCGCGCACACACATACCCATGTACGAACACCCATGTGCACATACTCATGCACACCTATGTACACACAATCTGCTCCCCTAGGTGCTCACCGCCCCCGTGCACATACGCACAGACTCACGCACAGACAGACACACAGACACGCGGACACGGCGCGCGCGCGCGCACATACACACACCCAGACTCAGACACACGCACACCCACGCACCCACGCATGTACGCTCCCTGCCTGCCGGCCCCCGGCGGCTCAGAGTCCGAGCCGGAGCAGGGTCTGTGGCGGGGCAGGGCCCCGGGTGCTGGGCGAGGGAGGGGAGCCGGCGGGGGCGGGGCGGGGCCGGGGGCGGGGGCGGAGGAGGAAGCGGAGGAGGAGGAGGAGGAGAAGAAGGAGAAGGAGGAGGAGGAGGAGGAGGAGGAGGAGGAGGAGGAGAAGGAGGAGGAGAGCGAGAACGGCGGGTGGCTCCTCCCGGCTCCCGCGCGGGGATTTTCCAGCCGTGGCTCTGACGCCGCCGCCACCGGGACCATGGGCGACCGAGGGACGCGGTGAGTGTGCCCCGGCGGACGAGGGGGCCTGCGCGAGCCCGGGTGGCACTGCTCGGGTGCGGGGGTGTCGGCGCCGGGCGGGGGAAGCCGGGCAGCGGACGGAGAGGAGGCGCCCGGCCCTTCCTGGGGATTTCAGGATGCTGCCGACGCCAAGCCTAGAGCTCACCCCAGTCTGCGGCTCCGGCTCCGGCTCCGGCCCGGGCTCTGGGCCGTTTGATCGGCTCCGCTGCTGGTGGAATGGAATTGGGGGGGGGCACACATTCCTACTTACACCTTCCGAACCATGCATGCATTAACTCTCTCACACTCATTACACACCGACGTGCACACCGCATTCACGAACATCTCACTGCCTCCCCCACACTGGGTCCCCGACTTCTCCCCCATTTCTCCTCTCCTCCGCTCAGATTCTGCCCAGGTTCCCCCCCTCCCCCCAGACTGCCTCCTCCCCCCATCTGTAGCTGTGGTTCGTTGACCAGATAATTAATTGGGTGGAAAGGTCCCATTCTGACTCAATTTCATCTTCTTCCTCCACTCCCCAGGAGGGAAGCCCCAAGCAAGTGGGTGTCGCAGAGTGACAGTCCCTGGTCCACTCCCTTCCCCCGCCAAGAATGCCAGTGTTTGCGGGGCTGGTAGCTTCCACTGCATCCTTCCAGTCCCCCTTCTTCCTCGATGTCGCCAGGGATGCCCTTTCCCTTTCTGGAGGCCCAGAAAAGGGCAGGGCTGGGGACTGAAATGGGGTAACTCTATGGGCGTGGGGGTGGGTCAGACTTTCGTGATTGGACTTGCCATTAGTGGAATCCCAACTGGCCTAGAATCCTGGTCACTTACTACTTGTTTGACCTTGGGCAAGTCACCTAACATCTGGTCCTCAGTGTCTTCATACCTTAAACGAGAGGTTTCACTCCAGGTGATCTCCAAGGTCCCTTCCAGCTGAAAATGTTATGGTTCTATTGCCCACCTTCTTTCCCCATCACAGAGTCACTAGCCCCGGGGGATGGTTTGTTGATAGGGGTGGGGGTAGAAAGGAGAGTACCCTGGCTGCAACTAGACTGGGCTCTGAGTTTCCCTCATTCTTTACTTCCTCTTCCCTTTTTAGTAGGAATAATAGTCACGTTTTTATAGTGCTTTAATATTTCTAAAGTACTTTCTCTACAACAGACCTTTGAGGTAGCAATAGTATTATAGGATTTAGACCTGGAAGGGGAGCTTGGAAACTACCTAGCTCAACCTCATCATTTTAGAGACCAGGATGGAGGTCAAGTGACTTATTGTCCATCTCACTAACAGCAAGTAACAGTGCCATAATTCAGACCAAGGTCTACTATGTTCATCACCATTCATGTTTTAAGATGAAGAACCTGAGGCCCAAAGAGTAATGACTTTGAGATCTGAGCTGTAGAACTGCTGTTCGAGTCGGGATTTGCACCCAGGTCTCCAGTCTCCAAGCAGAGGGACCTTTCTAGTACATCCTATTCCCCTGTTGTTCTCCTTGATACACCTGACACCTACTCCTCTCCATCATCCCATTCCATGGTCCTTCAAAGGTGCTCCTTTGGCCCCAACCTCTTCAACCCCCTTTTCCTGGTAAGGCCTCATTGGTCTTTCTCTTCTCCTTCTCTCTTTTCTCTTCACTTCCTTCAACAAAAATTGCCTGAATTCTTAGACTGTTCAAGGCCTTGTAATGGGAGTTGGCAGTCCAGTGGAGAGAGGGAGTAATCCAGGAGCCAAAGACAAATGAAATCAGGTCCCAAAGTGATGGTGGTGGGGGCTGGATATCTAAACATTGATTTACAGCAGCAGCAGCAGACTTCAAAGGGTCTCTAGGGTCCCTGAGACCCTTTCAGGTGCTCCTTGAGGTCAAAACGATTTGTGTCATCACAATAAAACCGTTTTCATTTTGAATACCATAAATATTGATAGATAAGACCCACATAAATGAAAGCTCTTTGAAGAGAGGGGTCTTCAACAATCTTTATGAGTGTGAAGGTGTCCCGAGATCAAAAAATGTGAGAACTGTGGATCTAAAGCTCCTTCATGAGTATCCGGTGTTTTTGTTTGTTATTAATACTTACTTGTTGAGTATGAATAATTAATTAGCTTGGGTTGTTCTGGCATAGGGGAAAGAGTGCTGGTTTTGGAGTCAGGAGGACCTGGGTTCAAATTCCAGCTCCAACACTTATTAGCTATGTGACTATGGGCAAGTTTCTTCCCTTCTCTGAAGTTTCTGAGTCTCCATCTGTAAAATGGAGATAATATCTGTAGAAATAGGAACTGCAGTGGTTAGAGCTGGCATTTTTTCAAGCACTTTAACTCTTATTGAAGGATTCCCTTACAACCACCTTGGGAAACAGGTAAAGAAACATTATTATTCCCATTTTACAGATGGGAAAAATAAAGCTCGGAGCAGAGAGCTGGAGTAAGTTGCTTAGGGTAACATAATAGACAGGAGGATCTGTGTCTTCTGATTTCAAGTCCTGAGCTCTTTTACCACTGTTGAATTGTAACCCAAGCATCTTTCATTAGCTTCATCCATTAGCGCTCACATCTTCCTAGCATTCCTTGGCAACAGGCAAATTGGCATCTCATTGTCTCAGAGGGTGTAAGCCTGCAAGAGTTCTGAAAAGTTCTGTCCTTTAGGATTTTGCTGGCCATAGGATGGTATGGTCATAAATTTAGAACCAGAAGTGATCTTTTACAACTTCTTTATTTACAGATGGGTAAACTGAGGTGGAGAGAAAATGAGTAACTTGGCCTTGTTCACACATCCTCACAGCAAGACTAGGATTTGAACTCCGGTCCTTTGACTCCAAAGCCAGAATTTTCCACTCTTACCACCTGGCCTAATCTGTTCTAGTCTTCCATCTTAGAGATGAGGAAACAGGCCTAGGGAGGAGGAATGACTAGTCCAGTGTTTCTCAGCTAGGCAGAGACTAGAATTGAGATCTCCTGGTACCCTAGCCCAGGCTCCTCCCACTGTGTTGTGCTGTCTTAGACCCTATCATTGTCACCCTCGCTGTTTCTGGAGTAATGGCCTTTGGAATTGAGGAACTGGATTTTTTAAAGCATAGTGTAGTGGAAAGCACCTGTTTTTAGGAGTAAGGCTATCTGAGTTTTAGTTCTGGTTCTCTCAGTATTTGGCTGTAACTTGGACAAGTTATTTCCTTTCCTCAGTCAGTCAGTCAACTAGCATTTATTAAGGGCCTACTATGTGCCTAGCACTGTGCTGAGTTCTGAGGGTGCAAAAAAAAGGGGGGAACCTCAAACAATCCAATTCTTGCTCTTAGGGAGCTCACAGCTTAATGATGGTGACAACGTGAAAATGACTATGTACAACCAAGATATATACAGAATAAATTAGAAATAGTCATCTGAGGGAAGGGACCGTGGAAGACCTGAGAAAGGTTTTTTGCAGAAGATGAGATTTTAGCTGAGACTTGAAGGAAGCCAGGTGTTGGGAAGGGGCAGGGAGACAGTGCCAGGTCTGGGGACAGCTTCTCAGCCTCAGTTTCCCTACTCAAATGAGAGGATATGTTGTTAGTTAAAACTTCCTAAAGACAGATATGAGGTCTGTTGTAAGCCTGATGCTTTTTCTGCCAAGGGTAAGGCCAGAGGCCTTGGTGTTTGCTAATATTCGGTTCAATTTAATTCATTTTTACTGAATTCACTAATCTTTGTACCAGGCAGTGTGTTAGTTGCTGAGGATAAAATGAAGACAAAAATGAAACAATCCCTGCCCTTAAGGATCTTACGAACTGCTGGGAGAAGACAGTATGTACACAGAGAAGTACAAAACATAGGTACAATAACTTTGGGAGTGGGGGTCCTACTACTAAGAAGAGGGGGTATATGGCAAGCCCTTATGTGGGAAAGGGCATGTGCATTGTACCTTGAAGGGAGATAGGGATTGCAGTTATGATGGCACAGTGGATAGAGCACTGGGCCTGGAGTCAGGAAGATTCATCTTCCTGAGTTCAAATCTGGTCCCAGACTTTCTAACTTTGTGACCCTGGGCAAGTCACTTCACCTTGTTTGCCTCAGTTTCCTCATTTGTAAAAAGAAACTGGAGGAAAAAATGGTAAACGACTCCAGTATCTTTGCCAAGAAAACCATAAATGAGGGCAGCTAGGTGGTGCAGTGGATAAAGCACCAGCCCTGGAGTCAGGAGGACTCCAGCTGTAGACACTTACTAGCTGTGTGACCCTGGGCAAGTCATTTAACCCTGATTGCCTTCACCCTTCCAAAAAAAAGACCCCCAAGTTCTTGAAGAGTCAGACATGACTGAAACAACAGAACAACAACAGGGAGAAGTGGAGAGTGAGAGCATGCTAGGCATGAAGAAGAGCATGGACAGCTCAGAGGTGGGAGAATGCTATGGAGGGAAGCAAATAATCCATTTCAGCTGAAATGTTGACCATGTGATGGTGAGTGATATCAACAGTTCAAGTCAACAAGCATTTATTCAGTGCCTTCACTAGGCACTGGGGATCCAAGGAAGGCCCAAAACAATCCCTGCTCTCCAAGAGCTCAGGAGGGGAGACAACCTGTAAATAACTATGTACAAACATGACACAGACAGGATCAATTGGAGGTAATAAGAACCCAATCTAGAAAGATAGGTCGGAGTCAGATGGTGAAGGATTTCAAATGTCAAGCAGTGGTGGTTGTCTTTTGTCCTGGAGGCAAGAAGGAGCCAGGGGAGACACTGGAGTGAGTGAGCACCTGTTTAAACTTTTGCTTTCGGGATGCTGCTTTGGCAGCTGTCTAGAGGGTATAGTGAGGAGGGGAGAGACTGTAGGTGGAGACTCCTGTTGGGAATCTCTGTAGTCCAGGGGAGAGGTGATGAGGGTCTGAGCCAGAGCGAAGCTGTGTGAGTCCAGAGAATGGGACACATGTGAGAGATGTTGGATGGATGGAACTTGGCAACTCATTGGATATGGGGAGTAAGGTTGAGAGAGAGAGTAAAAGTTGACTGAGTTTGTGATAATAGGAAAGTTGAT